TAGTGATGAACTGCCTTTGCTCATCAGAGTTGATGCAGAATCCAGGAAGGTGCAGTATGTAAATTGCAAGACCCTAACTCATGGTGTAGCTGTGCAGCAAGACTTATGTGCAGTGGTGTGATGATTTTGGAACTGCTAAATATTATGCACTCTGCAGCTAAGTTCCCTCTAAGCTGCGTGGCCGCGCAGCTGCCTATTAAACCCCGTGCAGGGGCTCAGGGCTGTGGCGGGGAGAGATGCCCCTCCCCCCCGGCCCCAGCGTGGACCTGCCAAAGATGGGGGAGAGGCGTCCCTCCCTGCCAGCCCCAGTGCAGACCTGCTGTGGCTGGGGGAGAGCTGTCCCTCCCCCGACCCGGCTCGAGCGTGAACCTGTCACAGCCAGGGGAGAGGAGCCCCTCCATCGACCAGGCCCGGCCTAGCCCCTCCGGAGCTGCCGCGGCTGGGGAGAGGTGCCTCTCCACTGGCCCCGAGCTGCTGCACCGAGAGAGGGCTGGGAGGAGTTCTCTCTCTCTCCACCGCAGCCCCGGGGCAACCTGTACCCCAAACCCCTCATCTCTGGCCCCACCCCAGAGTCCACCCCCTGCATCCTAACCCTCTGCTCCAGCCCTGAGCCCCCTCCCACATGCCAAACCCCTCATCCCCAGCCTCACCCCAGAGCCCACACCCCTAGCCGGAGCTCTCAGCTCCCCGCACCCCAACCCTCTGCCTCAGCCCTGAGACCCACCCACACCACATGAATTTTGTTATGTGCACCGATATGGAGGTGTTGTGTCACACATCACCTCCCCCATATCGGTGCACATAACAAAATTCATTGCACACATGGACGTAAAAAATTAGAGGGAACGCTGCTCTGCAGTTAAGAGGCACCTTCTCTGAATATCTTCTGAAGGATGATGCTCATTGCTGGCTGAATTATACCCCTCTTTTTCTCTCAACCAAAGGACAAACTCTGGCACTAACTGGAGCACAAAAGTAGCTGATCGCTGTAAACTACAGTCACCTGGCTTTCGATAATATTCTGAGGCTTTCGTTTTGGCTATTTCAGTCTGAAGGATTGAAGAGGCATTATACAAAACCACTTGTTCATTTGAAAGCTCTTCGTCAGGCTCACTTGCCAGAAGAAAATCCACAAAACATTTGGATGACTTAAATTCCTGCCTCAGATGACGCAGTTTGGATAGCATCCGCTAATGTTACTATGCTGCATAGACCAACTGTAGACTTGCCCTGTCCATGCTCTGCATGGAATGAAATTGCAGAACCATCGTGTTTGTCTGCTCTTGCCTGTAATTTGCTACTGGAATGGCTTGCAGTGTCTACACTGGAGGGAAGAGGGCTTTATACTTTTGTAGCAGCTTGGACAGGAGAAGAGCCTTCTTGTTGTACATAAGATCATTGTCTGTCAGTCTCTTCAACCAGGTGATAAAATGCAGTGTCGTAAGGTGACTGTATTGTTGCCGTGCAGCGAGCTGGTTTTACTTTACGATTCGTTTTGCTCAAGTAGGGAAGAAAGGCAGGTGAGTGATACACTGCATGCTTAGCAATCAAGTTATCCACGGATGTTCTGCGCAACGTGTCATCATCTCTGCTTTGATGTGCTGCCTCCCTGAGATCGGTTGCTTCCTCAAAGGTTTCTACGTCATGAATTACACGTACACAGACTGGTGCTAAACTAGATCTAGATGTTAGTTATCAAAATGGCCATTTTTGTTCTGTGAGCACTTCGATTGAAGCTGTGTGTTGTCATCTCTAACACTGATACTGACCTGTGCATAAGTGTCACGGAATTAAAAAGCTAGTTTCTAGAATAGTTCAACAGCTAGAACTGCATGCATAGGCAGTTACAAATTAAAACCTTCTACCAGGCAGAATAGATGCTACATTGTACATACAAAAGCTTAGAAATGGAGAAACGTTTCATTAGGATTTCATGTACATTTATATCGACCCATTATGCAGCACAAAGTAGGGGCATGCAATCTACTGCTACTGGTGCCCAGCCGTCGGTGTGAGATTGATCTGGTCAGTAAATGTCTACTGAAAAAGTCAAAACCTATTATAATCACTTGTGAGATACTTTGACAATTCAGAATATGTAATATGAAAACATTTCATGGTAGCACAGTGCAAAATGTTGCTAGTTGCTGTTTTTGCCACCTTCTAAACAGATTTATCATTTCTGAAAAAAAACTCACATCCTTGCCCATGCAAAACAATACAAATCTTTTAATACATTGTTGTTTGGTAGCTCTGACCAAAACCCACCACATTAAGGTGCTGAAATTGACTACAGCTTTTACTGCTTAAGGTAAAGTCCTGTTGCAGCGTTTCTGGAACTGGGCAAAACGATGACGCTTTTTCATTCGGCCGTTGTTTCACCTCGCCTACAGGCTTATGCCAGACTTGGCAGTGTCACATCGTGCTTCACCTCAACAGCCATAACATGAGCTTTCTAATAATGTTTGATGTGGTTGTGGGTAGGGTGGGTACATTAAACTAAAAAAATATGACCCTTTTTGGAGAATTGCCACACTTTTATAAAGTTAAAAAACCAGACCGAGATGATCAGTCAAAGCCCCAGCGAGAGAGAACCTGAGACCACAGATTGTTTATATATTCAGCCACATTTTTCTCCTTTCTCCACTGCCCGACAGCTCTCTGTATGGACGAGACTTTTAAGCAGGGGAGCTTTGCAGAGGCCAAAGAAAACAGAGCCTAAACAATGGCTTGAGAGCTCATGTCTTGTCAAGCAGGCCAGGTGTGTTTGGCACTATTGTTCTGCTCTACCCTGCCCCAGGAGATCTGGGGTCAATCCGCAGCCCAACCCAGCTCCCACTCCCTGGACCCACAAGAGCAGGAGATGCCATATGGCCACTTCCTTCTTGATAACTTGTAGGACTCACTCAACAGGATATGCTCATAGGGGCTGGAACTAGGGGTGTGCGGGTTGCAGCAGCACCCCTCCGGCTCGAAGTGGTTTCCATCATATCATAGAATCATAGAAGCGGAAGGGACCTCGAGAGGGACCCCTGCACTCAAGGCAGGACTAAGTATTATTTAAACCATCCCTGACAGGCGTTTGTCCAACCTGCTCTTAAAAATCCCCAACGATGGAGATTCCACAGCCTCCCTAGGCCATTTATTCCAGTGCTTAACCACCCTGACAGTTAGGAAGTTTTTCCTAATGTCCAACCTAGACCTCCCTTGCTGCAATTTAATCCAGGGTTTACAGTTTGGTTCAGTGGCTCTCAGCACCCCCGCCCCATACACATTGTTCCAGCGCCCCTGGATATGCTTGAGCAAATAGCTGAAGCTGAATATGTTTTAAAAAACAAGTTTGACCTGAGCAGGAACAAATTCTCACGCACACGGAGTTATGCTGAGTTTAGACAGGTGTGTTGAAGAGCAGAACTTGAACTGTAATGTGAAAACAATCGAACAGTGATACGTTTCCGGGTTAGCAGTCCTCAGGCTTCCTGGCATAAAGCTGATCAGACATCAGGAAGTAATATAGGAAAATACCAGGAAGGTGGAGCAAAATTTGCTTTACTGAAGTCAAGGCTAGAAGGATCCCAGTCAGCAAAGAAGTCCCATTAACTTCAGTGCTTACAGTTAAGCATGTGCTTAAGTGCTGACTAGGGTTGGATTGAAGCATGTGCTGAAGTGCTTTGCTGAGTATGGGCCTTAGGCTCGCTGGAATTAAGCCCAGTTTATGGCTTGGCTAGGTGAGCCCCTTTCCCTGGGGGCCTCTCTGTCACTTGTCATTTGTAGCAGGTCAATGCCAGCTCTTCCTGGCCTTCTCGCAGTGCACAATAGGAGTTTGTCGCTCCACACGCAGCGCTGCTCTCCCTGCTCAGCTCTCCCTCGGCACATGAGTTAACTCAGGTTCTGGCTCTACCAGAGATTGCACAGGGAGGTGCATTATGGGATGTTATCTTTGGCATGCTGGGCTGGGGGGAGAGAGCCCTGAGACACGTGACCAATGGCTGGGAGGGCTGCCTGGACGTTCAGGGACTCCTGGACTGCACAGCTGTTCCCCTGTGGGGGGCATAGTTGGGGGGGGAGCTTTGGTAACACAGCCCCCGCTATGTAAACAGCCTAGAGATTTGCTTCTGGTCACTTCCAATAAGAGAAGCAGAGTGGCTTAATAACCAACCAGCCCGGCCCTCCCCTCCCCCAGGGCCCCACCAACCACAGCCGGGTTCACCAAGGGGCTTAGATGGTCCTGGAGAGAGACCATGGCGTCTGCCGCACCCATCCTGCTCCTCCTGCTCCTTCTTGCTTCACTTGCTCCTGGGCAGAGGCGAAGGCGGCCCCCAGCCCCGGAGAGTGTCTTTGAGAAGATCAAAATCCAGGAGAACTTTGACCTCCAGCAGGTGAGGGAGGGACTAGGGAACGCTGGGCATCCCAGGCACTGGCACAGCTCCCCCGGGGGCCCTCTGTCCTAGAGCTGCTGACCTGCTCCATAACTTGCCAGGCAGGCGTCTGGGTTTGCCCAGCCCCAAGAGACGGGCTTGGTTGATGGCTTCTACCTTGGCCAATGTCCCAGGATTGAACCAGGGACCTCCAGAGTGAAAAGCACGAGCTGCTACTGTGCATGCTAAAGATGCCAGGCTGCTTAGAGTGGCTGAAATCTCCTCTGTGGCTGTGACCCACCGGGAACCTCAGCAGGGTGTCAGTGAAGGGTCCCAAGGCTCCTGAGAGCTGCTAAGCACTCAGTGGTCTGCAGTCTCACTCCAGTTTCCCCCAGTAACCTCAGCAAAGACGCTTTGTGCAGGGAGGTGGCCATGGGGGAGGGGGGCGTGCCGCTGGGGGGCTGAGGTTGGTTAGGAGGGGAGCTCACTCTGCTGCTGCTTGTGGTATGCCCATGCCCCGAGAACCCCAGCCGGGGGCCCAGGCTCCAGCACTCTTGATCCAGCACGGCATTTCTCAGGCTGGCAGCTGGGTGCACGCGCCCCTGAGGACAGACAGAGAAGGGATGTGAGCAGCGCTTTCCCCTGCCCCAGCTTCTGGCTCTCAACAGCTAGCCTGAGGCAGTCCCTGGGGAGCTCCTGTGTGATTGCTGAGGTGCCTAGAAAGCTACTGCTGGGAGATGCTATAGAAACATGGGGCCACCTCCCTGCACAAAGCCACAGGGTTTGTGCTGCAGAGCTGGGGTGGCGAAAGGGAATCCAAGTCCCCACACGCTGCCCTGTGTCCCCTGGGATGCCCTTATGCCAGGGGCTGGCCCACCAGCCCAAGCAGTAGGCGCCAATCCTCTGGCCACACTAGGTGCCTACTCCTGGGGCATTCTGTGCCAAAACATTAACAATTCTGCACACAATATTTTAAAATTATGCACATTTTATTTGTCAAAATAACACTACATAATCACGCCAGTTTAAATTATTTTGGAAATGTATTTCAAAATACCTGTCAGCAAGTATGTCTGTAACACTACAGACACACACAAAAATTCCCCAGGAGTAGAGAGTTAAAGAAACCCCTATGACAACCCAGTTCCTGTTTCTCTGCCCCCTCCCTCGCAGAGCCCAGCCATGCCCCCCCCCCCCGGTCAATACACCCTCTCCCCCTCTCCCACAGAGCCCAGCTGCGCGGCCCCCACGAGCCAAATACCCACGCCCCCTGCACAATGGGGCCTTGTCTCAGGGAGGGTATCAGGTGCTACTGTTATGTATGTGTCGCAATATCAGATCTGTGCATTTAATTTCTATTTTGAGAAATAGGATAAATGTAGCTGAAATCTCACAAAATGTTACTTTTTTGCTCAGAATCTGGTCAGTTCTGTAATTTAAAAAATCAAACAAAAACTGCAGCATTTCAAAGAACAGACTTAGAAATTACGGTTCAGTGTCCGGTGGCATGTCTATGTGTTTTGATGCCAGAAGTGTCACTCCATGAGCACGTTCGGGGATGGGAGGCCAAAAACCAAAATCTGGGGGCCTGTGAAGTAGCCAGGAACAAAACTATAAATACTGTTTGCAAATGTCACCCAAAAGAATGCTGCATTTTTGCCTCGCTTTAACCTAGGGCTATCATATGTCCGGATTTCCCCGGACATGTCCGGCTTTTCGGTCTATAAATAGCCGTCCAGGGGGGATTTCTAAAAATCTAAAAATGGCCGGGATTTCCCCCCGGTCGGCTATTTATAGACCGAAAAGCCGTCACTCGGCAGCCAAAGCCCCTTCCCGGCTCCCCCC